GGAAGTCGAAGCGGCTGAGGTATAGAGACCACCGAGCCTGTCGACGAGTGAGGTTCCGTGCGGTGCGCCAGTACTCAAGATTGCGGTGATCGGTGACGATCTTGAAGGGTTCGGGGAGTCCCTCCAGGTAGTGTCGCCAGTCTTCGAGAGCACGGATGATTGCCAGCATCTCTCGGTCGTAAATCTCGTAGTTCCGTTCTGCTTCAGCCATCGACTCCGATCGGTAGGCCACCGGATGCCAGAGGTCGTCGCCCAGCTTCTGCAGTAGGACTCCTCCGGTCGCGAAGCCGGAGGCGTCCACTTCGATCCGCGTGGGCCGAGCCGGATCCCAAGAGACCAGCACGGGCTCGCTTGTAAACGCGTCCTTGAGGGCTTGGAAGGCGAGTTGCTGCGCGGTTCCCCAAGTCCAGGGGACGTCCTTCTTGGTCAGGTCGTTGAGCGGTCGCGCGTGTTTGGAGAAGTCCTTGATAAATCGACGGTAGAAGTTGGCGAACCCTAGGAAGCCGCACAAGTCACGCAGGTTCTTGGGGGCTGGCCACTCGGCGACGGCCTTGACTTTGACCGGGTCCATGGCCACCTCGCCTTCGCGGATGATGAGGCCGAGGTACTCTACCTCCGTCTTCTCAAACTCGCACTTCTCTGGTCGCAGGTAGAGGTCGTGTTCCTGGAGTCGTTTCAGCACCTCGTGGGTTACGGCGCGATGCTCTTCAAGGGTGGTGCTGAAGATGAGGATGTCATCAAGGTAGACAGCAACCTTTCCTGCGGCGTTCAGATCAGCGAAGATTGAGTTCATCAAGGCTTGGAACGTAGCGGGGGAGTTGGTGAGTCCGAACAGCATGACCCGCGGTTTGAATAGGCCTCGATCGTGGACTGTAAACGCGGCCTTCCACTCGTCGCCCTCCTTGATGCGGACGTTGTGGTAGCCCCAACGGACGTCAAACTTGGTGAAGTACTTGGCTTGGCGCAGGCGACTGATGATGTCGGACGCGAGGGGGAGAGGGTAGCGATTCTTCACCGTGATCTTGTTGAGCTTGCGATAGTCCTGGACTAGACGGAGCTTGCCGTCCTTCTTCTTCACGAAGAAGACTGGGGACGCCATCGGGGATTTGGAGGGGACGATGTAGCCTTTCCGAAGGTTTTCCTCGAGGAACCGATCGACTTCCTCCTGCTCGTTGGGCGACATCGGGTAGGCCTTGGAGCGTAGAGTTTCTGGGGCGTCGGGTTTGAGGTCGATGGCATGGTCGTACGGCTTGTGCTCCGGGAGGCGTTCCGATTCCGCCTCCGAGAACACCTTCGAGTACTGTCGATACTCCTCTGGGACGATTTCCTCGAATGTGCGTTTGGGCTTGTCCTGGTTGGCCTTCTGTGCGAGCTCCGTGGAGTAGGTGTACCCAGTGGCGCACCACAACTCCTCGGTCGTGTCCTCCAGGACCTTAGCCTTCCACCACTTCCTTCGCTGCACCCGGTTGGCGGCGATCCGCTCAATACCAGGTTTCCATTCGGCCTCGGCCTCCGTTTCCTCCGCACCAACCTCCATGGTGCCTTCCTGCCAGTCAATGTCCGGATTGACTCTACGAAGCCAAGGTAAGCCTAATACGACGTCTTCGGGGCCCAGATCCGTAACTAAGAACTCGAGCCATTCTGTGTAGTCGCCCATAAGTACTTGTAACCTAACGTAATGAGATATGCTGCCTGCACTGTTCTTGGAGCCGTCGATGTTATAGAGGGGGATGTCTCTAGCTAACCTATGTAAGTAGACATTGTTCTTCTTTACGAAACGATGGCTGATGAAAAGGGCTGTTGCCCCACTGTCTATCATAGCTGCGGAACGTACACTATGGTTTCTGCCTTTAAGAATCACACTGACGCGGAAATGCGAGCTAGATGGGTTCAATTCAGGAATGATACACGAACTAATACTATCGTACAGGCAGGGGTCAGGGATCTGGGGAGGCGAAGGGTCCATAGTCGTACCAGAGGGCGCCGCTGCGGCAGCTTTCGCGCGCGCCCGCTCTAAAAAGACTTCTGCAGAGAGGCAAGCTGGTTGGCGAGGGCCTTCTGCTGCTCCATGAGCTGGGCAATGAGGGCGTTGGTCGCTCCGGCATCCGCAGACGTCGACGTTGACACTGCAACCTGGGGCTCCTCCGGTCCTTCCTCTGTGGCAGCGAGTTTCTGCGAGCGGGGCTTCTTCAGGAACTTGTCCATGCATACTGTCTCGCGGTGCCCTACGCGGCGACAGTAGCCACAGATGTCCCGGTCGTGGCCGCCATCCTTCTTGACGTGCGCCATAGACCCGCAGCCGTAACACTTGCCGCGCATGAGGCGATTGAACTCCTCGCGCGTGCGGGTGGCGTCGATGTCCATTGCGTTCGGGTCTCTGATATGCGGCGTGAAGGGCGTGGTGTGCAGAGGGGCAGCTGGCTTGGTGGCCGTGATGGTGGTCGCGGTGCGTCCGCGCTGGTGCTCTCGTTCAGCACGGCGTTGGCGAACGCGGACGTCGATGTCGGAGGAGACCGTGATGAGGTCCTCCAGAGAAGCGATGGGCCTTGCCATGTGTACCAACTTGTCCTTGATGGAGTCCGCAAGGTGTTCGTAGAAGCGGTCGCGGAGGTCAGCTTTGGAGTAGCCGGTGCGCGTCGAGAGTTTGTTGAACCTTGCGGCGTACTCGGGGACGGTCATGGAGCCTTGCCACAACGTACGGAGGTGTTCCTTCGCATCGACCGCCTCGTCGACCGTCTCGAACCGGGCCTTGAACTGGGTGCGGAACTCCGTCCACAAGCCTTTGAACGGGGTGGTGCCCTGCGTGATCTCCTCCATCGCCGGAGTGGCCCAGAGAGCCGCACTGTCCTGCATGAAGGAGAGGACTGCCCGAATCCACTGGTCATCGCGCGCGCTGATCGCGTTGCCCGTGGCGTCCACGTGGTTGAGCGTTGATCCTTGGGACATGGCCCAGAGAGTGAACGCGGCCAGGAAGCGTCGTGCTTCGCCCCCCTGTTTGCCTTTGAAGGGAGAGGGCTTCTGAACCGCCTTCAGGCTGTTGGTTCCGGTGGTCGAGTTGGCGAGCTGCGCCATGGACTGGGTGAGGAGGGTCATCGATTGGAGTGGGACCGTCATGGGGTCCGGGGGTTGTGTTGCCGTCTGGGTGCCCGGTTGGGTCTGCTGGGGGTTGTTGGCGGGGCCTGTCGTCTGCGGTTGTCCGCCTTGTTGTCCCATGATGGGTGGAGCGGACGGTGGGCGGGTTGGGGGGATGATAGGGG